CCTGTGATCCGCACATGCTCTTTGCACTTGTGTCTTGTGTCTTTGTCTTCCTACAGCTCTGTGTATACGCTCGTGACTCTTCTGGTATTTGACTCGGCTTGTGACTAGACCATTCTCTGTGGTTTCCTTCGATCTGACCTTCCGTTGCTGAACCCGGCCCGTGACCTGTGATTCTCTGTCTACTGTTCTGTACTGTTTTGTCCCATTGTTGTTGACCCAGCTTGCCTGACTACGCCATTGTCATTCTCACCAGCTACACGCCATTGGCAGCGGCCATTACCGCAGCCGGGGTGTCTCGGGGGCCGCGACCTGGTTCCTGGCTGCGTCAAGTCCATCCCCACCATCAGGGGCCCTGGTGAAGGGCAGCCTGGGACTTAGACTCCGCGCCCTGAGGGACTTCGGTCTGTTGGTGGTGGTTGTCGTCAGCTAGTGCGTTACCCTGCCACTAGGCCTACCTGTCCGTTCCACAGCCCTGCCCTGACATTGAGTTCCTTAGGGTTAGGGTTTACTGCTTTTCTTGTTGCCATGAATGAATTCCATACAAATTACTTAGCATGGTGTGGTACTGAGAGGTGGGTACAGGGTGGAACCAAGGGACAGTGCTCGGAGGAGGGTAGGGGGAGGAGACAAGAAGTGTCTCAGAAGGGGGGAGTTCCTTACAGTTAGGGTTTACTGCTTTTCTTGTTGCCATGAATGAATTCCATACAACTTACATAGCACCACAAAATGATTCTTGGCTCCGTATTCTCTAAAAGTTGTGGTACTGGGAGGTGGGTAGGGGGTGGAACCAAGGGACAGTGCTCAGAGGTGGGTAGTGGAATGAGAAAAGAAGTGTCTCAAAAGGGGGGGAGTTCCTTAGGGTTAGGGTTTACTGCTTTTCTTGTTGCCATGAATGAATTCCATACAAATTACATAGCACCACAAAATTATAGTTGGCTTCGTATTCTCTAAAAGTCGTGGTAATAGGAGGTGGGTATGGTTGGAACTAAGGGACAGTGCTCGGAAGTGGGTAGGGTAGTGACTCAGAAGGGGGGAGTTCCTGCACCTATTTTCTGAGAACAAAGTTTTTCAAACACAGTAATGAATGGGACCCAAAGAATCTGACTGGTTGCAACAGGCAATATAATTTCCATTTACTGGAGATTGAACTATTTTGCTGATGTTATGCATATGACTCAGAAAAAGTCTGGGCATATGAACACTGTGTAGGAAGCTTCTGAATTGTTTATTATCCTGTCTTTGCAGGATCATAAAGTGCATAAATTGCTTTGTCGTCATCTAAAAAAAGGCTCCAATATACAGAAGTAAAATGGAAGCATATAGAAATAAAAAGCAAATGCATTTTAAGGATTATTGCAGACTTTCACCAGGGATGATTTAAGGAGATGGACCGCTGGGTCATTTTAGACTCAAATGTGTACAGGGCCCAAGATCCCAAGAGTTTGGTAAAAGGATAAGGAAGGTCACCATTTCTGCAACAGACAAGCACAGTCTCCCTGGCACAGGCAATACAGACGGTATAGAAATTTGTCGACAGGGCGTGCCATAAGCAAGAGGTCCAGCATTAGGGGAAATGTAGGCTTCTGCTCCTGAGTGCGTTATTACTTTCCATCTTTGTAGGGGACTTGAGTGCATATGACAGAGCGTGGGATCTCTCCGTGTAATTACATAGCACAGTATATGCTAAGTAGCAGGTTTGCAATGGTCCTCATGTACAACGTGCAATTACCCTGCCACACAGTCCTGCAAGCTTTGACTCAGTATAGAACAGGTGCTGAGGTAAGTTATATCCTTCAACAAAAATGTTATTTTCAACTCTGTAGAATGATTTATAACAGTTTTGTTTTTTTTCTAGCTACATTATTGTAACAGGGGCATACATTCACAACTTTAAAACCATGATAAGGATATTCATTTTCAGATATGTGACTGTTTTTTCATATTTATTAGAGATTTATATGGATTATTATGGATTTATATAGCGCCCTTCTGGGTTATGTAATGCTGTCAGGTATATTTAATTTGGTTCACTGTAGTCAGTGGCACAGAGGTTGATTGATTAGGGCTGCTCAGGATCTCACAAGCTGCTGCTGTGCTACTTCCACCTGTATTCTGGAACTACCTGGGGGTTTCTAGAACATAGTGGGTGGAGGGCGGAGGTTGCAGCCTGAATACTTTTGGAATGTCCACTAATCCCTGGGGAGGCGAGCCCAGAAGGTGGGAGAAAAGCCCTTATATAGTCTGAACCTGAGCAGCAAGAGGAGTCTGCAGCATGCTGGTGTAAGGAAACATTCCAGGGAGCAGCCAGGAAAAGACCCCTTTTGAGGAGACTTGCCCTCCTGGGCAGAAGACAGGGAAGGAGCCAGCAAAAAGGCAGAGGGTTTCAGCTAGGCATAGCTGGGGGACCTGAAGATAGAGAGTTCCCAGGAATCAAGAGGGGTCAGGAGAGAGCTCACGGGAAGAAATTTGGAAGGAGGCGGCCGATGAACTTGTGGCTGAGTGAGTACAAACCCCAGTGCTGCAAGAGTGACTGTTTAGTGCTTTAGTCTTAAAGAGAAGATTCTATGGGACTTGCTGCTGAAGTAGAGTAGAGACTGAAGTGTGTCAGTACAGCTAAGCAGGGGCGCAATACCGTCGGGTGTTGTACAAAATTCCAGTTGTTAGGTAGGCAGGATAGGAGGTGGAATAGGCTTCCCTAAAAAAAAAGATGAGCTTTCAAGGATCATATAAAGCAGGGGTATTCAATTACAATTCAAAGAGGTCTGGTCAGTAAAGTTTTCTTCCAGCAGATATTTGAATATCATATTCCCCACACACACACACTTCCCCCTTAAAATCACATTCACATCACAAGCAATCAACAACATTTTCATCACAAGCAATCAACAACAGAATGATTCTGATCACCAGCACGCCAGTACAGTGTCATCACAGCCAGTGATGCAGTCAACCATGTTCCTGACCGCCAGCACGCCAGTACAGTATCATCAGAGCTAGTGAAGCAATCAACAACGTTCCTGACCGCCATCATGCCAGTACAGTGTCATCAGAGCCAGTGAAGCAGTCAACAACTTTCCTGACCGCCAACACGCCAGTACACTGTCATCAGAGCCAGTGAAGCAGTCAACAGCGTTCCTGACCACCAGCACGCCAGTACGGTGTCATCAGAGCCAGTGATGCAGTCAACAGCGTTCCTGACCGCCAGCACGCCAGTACGGTGTCATCAGAGCCACTGAAGCAATCAACAACGTTCCTGACCGCCATCATGCCAGTACGGTGTCATCAGAGCCTGTGAAGCAATCAACAACTTTCCTGACCGCCAGCACGCCAGTACAGTGTCATCAGAGCCAGTGATGCAGTCAACAACGTTCCTGATCGCCAGCACGCCAGTACAGTGTCACCAGGTCAGTGCAGCAACAGTGTTTTGATCACCACCATACCAGTGCAGTGTCTCCTCTGCCTACCAGCTAAACTGACTGTGATCTGTTTATCCATAATCCACTGTAGGCAGGTGCTGTTTCCTTTCTCCACTGAAGCTGGCGCTCAACTGCAGCGGCATTGTAGGAGGAAAGGAAGTCAGGAGGAACCTGTTCCTCTATGATTTCCTGGGTCACAGGGAAAGTGATTAGATTGGATTTTGCTGCTGCATGTGATTCTGACGGCCATCTTGGGCCACCCTGACTACCAGGTTTGATGGGCATTTTGCGAGTGAATAGTGTAGGAATAAGGTACCCATCTGTCAGGGAAAATTAATAACGGTAGGGAAAATTCCTTGCCGAGTAGGGATGGGAGAGGGACACACTATCCTCTCCATGAATCCTCCCAGTTGGGCACAGACTGACAGGTCTGCATTCCACCCTCAGCAACAGACGCTGTTGGCACACCGGACCTGCTCCACTCTGCATTACTGTTCTGAACTGTGAGTGTTCCCATTCAGGTGCCTTCCCACTGAGCAGTTTTTGGGCCATGACTTCAATACAAGTTCTGTTATCTGCAATTGTGTGCTTACTGCTGCCACACCATGCTGCACCCACCCAGATCCCCCTATACTGACCCATCTGCACACCCCACTGACCATGTTCCTGAGAGACTCCATCCCCAGCCATCCTTGTCATTCACCTGCACTCCTGGAATGGCAGATACTTATTGTTCATCCTTTATTCAGCCTCCTATACTTCCTGGCCAGGAAGATAGCATTCAGTATAATTCCTGGAGCTAACCACATGCCAGTAGTCATGCTTGGTTTATAGCAGTGTTTCTCAACTCCAGTCCTCATGGACCCCCAACAGGTCATGTTTTCAGGATTTCCCTCAGATGAAACAGCTGTGGTAATTACTAAGGCAGTGAAACTGATCAAATCACCTGTGCAAAATAATGGAAATCCTGAAAACATGACCTGTTGGGGGTCCATGAGGAATGGAGTTGAGAAACACTGGTTTATAGGAACATGAATCACTATAAGGTGAAGCTACACTATAGTTCACTGTTTTAGATACAATGTTGGTTGAATTTTGTGATAAATAAAGTTGCAAAGTTAGGTACTTACTCAGTCCATAAATTGGAAAAGTTTCACACATGTGGTATTCCCGTATTAGAAAAAAGTTGAAGAATGTGTTTTGGAGTGCAATTTTAACTATGCCAATGCGGTGTGTGGGAAATATCCTCTTAAACTACCCACTTTGTGTAAAAAAAATACAGCTTGCCTCAAAGCCTACACTTTGAAAATTTATAAAAATGTATTGAACAGAAAATACGTTTTCATTTTCTTTTTCATCTTCAAAAAACTTGTGGCAAAAAATTTAAATATTTTCGAAATATTTACAATGCCTCTTAAGAAATACTTGTGGGTGTTTGCTTTGCAAAATGTGAAGGCAGTCAAGAAATTAGATGCATAATTTATGCTTCTTGAAAGCTAGAAAGTGGCTACACAAGTTGTATCCCCTTACTCGGGAGTAGTAGCAGAATGTGTTTTTAGGGTGTAATTCTAATATATGCTTGTACTGTGCATTAGAAATACACTATACTGACAAAAGTATTGGGACACCCCTCCAAATCATTGGATTCAGGTGTCCCAATCACCTCCATAGCCACAGGTGTATAAAATCAAGCACCTAGGCATGCAGACTGGTTCTACAAGCTTTTGTGAAAAAATGGGTCGCTCTCAGGACCTCAGTGAATTCAAGCGTGGTACTGTGATAGGTTGCCATCTTTGAAATTTCCTTGCTACCAAATATTCCACGGTCAACTGTTAGTGGTATTATAACAAAGTAGAAGCAACTGGGAACAACAGTAACTCAGCCACGAAGTGGTAGGCCACAAAAAATCACATAGCAGGGTTAGCGCATGGTGAAAGGCAAACTGCGCAGAAGTCACCAACTGTCTGCCAAGTCAATAGCTAAAGATCTACAAACTTCATGTGGCCTTCAGATTAGCACAACAATAGTGCGTAGAGAGCTTCAAGGAATGGTTTCCATGGCCGAGCAGCTGCATCCAAGCCTTACATCCCCACGTGTAATGCAAAGCGTCGGATGTAGTGGTGTAAAGCACACCACCACTGGACTCTAGAGCAGTGGAAATGTGTTCTCTGGAGTGATGAATCATGCTTCTCTGACTGGCAATCTGATGGATGTGTCTGGGTTTGGGGGTTGCCAGGAGAACGGCACTTGCCTGACTGCATTGTGCCAAGTGTAAAGTTTGATGGAAGGGGATTCTGGTGTGGGGTTGTTTTTCAGGGGTTGGGCTTGGCCCCATAGTTCCAGTGAAGGGAACTCTTAAGGTGTCAGCATACCTACATATTTTGGACAATTTCAGATGGCCCCTTCCGGTTCTAACATGACTGCGCACGAGTGCACAAAGCAAGGTACATGTAGACATGGATGAGCGAGTTTGGGGTGGAGGAAATTGACTGGCCTCCATAGAGTCCTGACCTCAACCCGAAAGAACACCTTTGAGATGAACTAGAGCGGAGACTGTGAGCCAGGCCTTTTTGTCCAACATCAGTGCTTGACCTCACAAATGCACTTCTGGAAGAATGGTCAAACATTCCCATAGACACACTCCTAAACCTTGTGGACAGCCTTCCCAGAAGAGTTAAAGCTGTTATAGCTGCAGAGGGTGGGCCAACTCAATATTGAACCCTGCAGACTAAGACTGGAATGCCATTAAAGTTCATGTATGTGTAAAGGCAGGCACCCCAATACTTTTGGAAAAATAGTGTATCCTAATGATTTGCAACTTTGTGTAAAAAAATCACTTTTATTTGCTTTTCCGCATTATCCAAAAACAAAATTATTATTAATATTATTATTCAGGATTTATATAGCGCTAACAGTTTGTGCAGCACTTTACAATATAAAATGAGACAATACAGCAACAATACAATTCAATACAAAAGAGTTAGGAGGGCCCTGCTCCTGGGAGCTTACAATCTAATAGGGAGGAGCTGGTGGAACAAAAGGTAATAATTGTGAGAGATAAATTGATGGGTGAGATAGAAGATTCAGTTATTAGGTGAAGGCAGGATAGGCTTCCCTGAAGAGATGAGTTTTCAGGGATTGCCTAAAAGTGGACAGAATGGGGATAGCTGGACAAATTGGGGTAGGGAGTTCCAGAAGATGGGAGAAGCTCCAGAGAAATCCTGGAGATGAGCAATGGAGGAGGAGACAAGTAAGCTAGAGAGCAGGAGGTTTTTGGAGGAACGTAGAGGATGGTTTGGGTCATATTTGGAGCCGAGATTGGTGATGTAGCTCTGGACAGAGTTGTAAATGGCTTTGTCCAGGATTACACCTAGTACCCTAGTATGAGGGGAGGGACTGATTGTTGTACTATTGATCTTGATGGAGATGTAAAGGGAGGGGACACAGGCTGGAGGGAATATTATGAGCTCATTTTTAGAAAGAGTGGTGTGACATTCATGCTGATATGTCAGTTAGTAAGTTAGTTTGTAAGTTAGTAATGTGAGGGTAGACTGAAGAGGTGAGGTCAGGAGTAGAGAGATACATTTGTAGAGAGATAGATTTGTGTGTCATTAGCATAGGGATGGTACTTGAAGCCAAGATAGTTTATCAAGTGACCAAGGGAGGAGGTGTAGATGGAGAAGAGGATGGGTCTCAGGACACAACCTTGGGAGATCCCTACAGAAAGGAGGAAGTGGAAAGGAGGAGACAGAGTTATAGGTAACTCTCAGGGATCCGGGTATGACCAGAGATGTGTGGACTGACACAGGGAAACGCAGGCTTCAGGTAAGGTGTAAAACAATATAATTTATTAAAGGTAATACAATACACAAACGCAGTGCAAACAAACCCAACCTAAACTAATATAAATATGTACAACGAAGTGCAAACAAAACCCAAACCTTAACTGATATAAATATGTATGGAGCACAAACGTAGTCAGGCAGGCCAGGTCGGTAGCTAACGGGCAGACAAGGTACAAAGGAGCAGGCAGAAGAGTGGTCAGGAATAGCCGGGGTCGGTACGGGCAGAGTTCAAGCAGTGTCAGAGTCCAGCAGGAGCATCAGGCAGGCAGGAGGCAGGATACAGGGCACAAGGGAGCAATACACCAAGGCACTGACTGCAGGCCTGGTCCTGCTTTATTACACCTCCTGCAATCAGCCTCAGGTGATGGCCTGATTGCAGGAGTGAGACACTGGCTGCTGAGAGCACCCGCTGGCCAGCACTGGTACTGCAGCCCACAAGGCAGATAAGCCCCAGCACTACCAGAGATAAGACCATTCCTGACAGTAACACTGAAGGAGCGCTGTGATAGGTAGGAGGAGAACCAGGAGGGAGCAGAGTCTTGAAGGCCAAGAGATTTAAGTTTTTCGAGAAGGAGGGGATGGTCAACAGAGGTCTAGTGGTATCAGTATGGAGTAGTGGCCATTGGTTTTAGTAGTTAGTAAATCAATAGTAAGTTTTAGTAGAGCAGTTTCAGTGGAGTAAGCAAAAGCAGACTGTAAGGGGACAAGAAGGTTGTTGTCAGTGAGATAGGAGATCAGACAATTGTAGACTAAGCAGTCTAAATGTTTAGAAGTAAACGGGAGTAGGGAGATGGGTCTTAAGTTGTTCGGGCTGGTGGGGGGTCCATTAAGTGCTTTTTAAGTATGGGGGTGATCAGCATACATCTTAGAGGGAAGGGAAAGGTGACAGTAGAGAAGGAGAGATTGAAGATGTGAGTGAGGGAGCATAGGATAGAAGAAGAGGAGGAGTGACCTCTTCGGTAATAGCAAAGTCAAAAGTGGAAAGTGTTGAGGATGGTTTTATACAGGGTATGTAATGTGCTATAGATATCTGTGCAGTGCAGAGGTCCCCACAAATTGCATCAATCTTGTTTTTGAAGTGATTTGCAGTGAGTGAGTTGCTGGGTGGAGGTAGTGAAGGAGAAAGTAGAGAGCTGTGGAGGAGAAAGTAGAATTCTTCAAATGACTACTTTTTTTTTAATTACTTTGGGGTGTATGCTTCCAAATGTGGTAATTTTGTGAGTGTTTCCACTGTATGGAAACTGTAGAGCTTCCAAAAATATTGACAGGCAGTGAAAAGATTAGATGAACAATGTTTGTCCCTTGAAAGCCTTAAAGTGCTTCTTGAATTTTGGACCCCTCTATAAGGCTAGGCTGCAAAAAAGTTTCCTATGTGGTATTCCCATACACAGGAGGAATATCAAAATGTGTTTTGGAGTATAATTCTAAATATGACCATGCTGTGTGTTAGAAATATCTTATTAATTGACAAATTCCTGTGAAAAAAAAACACATTTTCATTTTCTTTGGTCATTGTGTGGGCATTTCTCCTACCTGGGGACTCAAGAAATGTGAGGGGTAGTTAGGAACTCAGATGCAAAATTTGTGCTTCTTAAATGCCTGAAAGTGCTCCTTGGATTTTAGGTCCCTTTTTGCATCTAAACAGTGAAAAAGTCTAACGCATATAGTATTCTCATATTCAGGAATAGAAAAATGTGTTTGGGGTGTGTGGGAAATAACTTAATTTAAAATGATAAATTTGTGAAAAATCTAATTTTATTTCCATTTTAAAATTTTCAATACATTGTGGCAAAAATCTACAACTCATTATCCTTCTTACTAAATATTAAACATATATTTCTTTTCTGTTGGTAGAACTAGATGTACCCATGGAGTGTCTACTTTCTGAAACGGGTCATTTAGCGGGAGTTTGTACTGTCCTGGCATTTTTATTTAATGCATTTCAGCATGGTTGCTCTGCTGCTTTTTCAGGAACAGGACAAAACTAAAATCCAACATCAACTGTTACAGACAATATCATGGGTTTAAATGTCTCACCAGTGGAAAAAGCAAGGGCAGGTCAGATACATGACCACTAGCCATTAACTCCATCCCTGCTACATTAAACAACAGGAGTCTAATAATGATGAATACACACACAAAATTAAAAAAATATCCAAAACAAACTATGAACTAATATTCACATTAAAAATCTTAATTTCATAATTCCATTATATTATTAGAAGTATGTAAGCTCTATGCAAAATATATATTACAAAAACAGAGGGTTGTATAACTTATAGCTTTATCAAAATATAATACAGACACTTCAGGCATCTCTGCCCATTTCAATTACTGACCAGCTCCATGCAGTGGAAATGGAAACATACGTGTCTAGGTCCTTCATAGCTTCCACATATACAACACATGAGATAATAGGTGTAACTACTTATTTCGTATAGTAAACACTTGCTTCTTTGTTTTGGTCTACAGTTCAATTTATCTGCAGCTGTTTGCCCCATGTTGCCACTATATGTACCCACTTTAAATAGTAAACTATTTTAGCAAAAAAAAGAGTTGGAAGATCTGCAAGGAAGAGTAGGGACTGGCCAGAGAGGGATCACATTAGTAAACTGAAATCTAAGCTGACAGTCCTGGATGCAGCTCAGACTTCATCTGTATACAGCAGACATAAATGGCACCATGTACCACATACGTTCTCTTATTTTCTCTGTACCAGGTGGGTACTGTAATCACCAAGGCTGTCCCTGAAAGCCATGCTGGTTCTGTAAAACACTATACAGCTTTAAGGCAAGCTTGTAATTTAAAGGATTTGTGTGTACTTTCCATGTCATTCTTGAAACCATATAAAAAAGCCCCTCCCCACCAGTACTTTTTTTTTTCTATGAGAAAAGGTCCTTCACAGTAGAATCAGGCTTCCCATGCTATTGTTGGCTCT